AACCTCTTGACAGTACAAAACGGATGTCTATAAGTCTAGATGAATTTCCTACGGCACTGAATATTTCTTAATATGTATCAGACTGGTTATGAACTAATCTGTGCCTGTCTCAGGCCAATCTATTGGACCCCAGCACCTTCCCTTAGTACCTTGAACAGGGCATGGACCCCAGCACCTTCCCTTAGTACCTTGAACAGGTGCTATACATAAATATTTTTTTTCCCTTTCAACCATCAAATTTCTGCTGTTATCCTTCTTATCTACTCACAATATTTTTCCCATCATAGACCACCATTCTTTCTATAAAACCTGCCCTTTTTTTTCTAAAGACACTAATTATTATTTCTAAATTCTGCTTTCAATGTTAGTTTCTAAGCAACTTGTTGTATTTGTTTTGGTCTTGGCACCATCCGAGTGTTGATATGTATTAGATAGGAAAGTGTTACATATTTCACCACCTTTACTTTGTGACAAAGTGTGAATTGGATTTGTGTTTTTTGTTTTCAGTCCTGTTCTTGTTGTTGTTGAGTTGCATGCTAATAGTGAGGTATGCTTCAATCAAAACCTTAGACATAATCTTGTATATAGTTCCTTTACAGATTAGTCTAGCAGTTGGCTTCCTCAGTGAGTCAGAACCAAACATTTCTTTCTCTATCTCCCCTGGTTGTCTCAGCAGTTAAAGTTCCATCACACTGCCTTTGGGAACTTTCTCTTTATTCAAAACTTGAACACTTCATTTAACTGATTTCCGGAAGCTCTTTTCCCAAATTGTGCCATGTAAACTTTCTAGAAAAGCAATGCTACTGACAGGTGAGATGACTGGTAGGCTTTCTATCAAACAAGATGGAGAGACAATTCCAAAAGTGTTAAGTCTGAACTTGATTGAGATGTTGACAGAATTTTGGGCCTGAGATAGGATTGAGACCATAAATGAGATTGTGTTGCAGCGTTGCAGGTGGCGTATGCAATACATATTGTTGATGGGGCACTTAGCAGGCAAGTCCCAGTTCAATGGTGTGAGCTCCCATTCAATGATGAATGGCTAGAGTGGAACTCACCCTTTGCTTGTGAATTCAAATTTACAGACCTCCATCTTTTCAAAAAGAAGAGAAACCATCACTGATCTCATGGCAAAAAACATTGTACAAAAAATCATGGGAAATATGTTGTGTGTTGTTATATTTTGCCTGGTACATACAATGGAGGACTTCCCATTGGTTTTACAACCTATGTAAAGCTAGATTTACAGGCTGTAAAGCTGAATTTTTGCTGGGAAAATAGCTTTGTAGCCTGTAAGTCTGGCTTTACAGGGGCCTGTAAAATCAAAGGGAAGTCTTTCAATGTTTTTTACCACATTTCTTATTTCCTGTTTTTTTTTTTTTATTACCACTCACTCCCATGAACTCTAAGCATCTTGAACTATTTATTTTCTGACTTTTGGATAATGAAGAGGAATGAGGAGCAAGCCAACAAGCCAAGATGGAGGGGGTGGGTCCCTGATGGAAAAATTCGTGATCACAGACTTTCAAATCTGTGTAACCAACTTGTGAGATGATGTCCAATTTATTTTCCAGTGAAGACGTTTTTCATTTTTGAAAAAACCAAAGTTGAACATGATGCAGACATGATATACAGAGAGAAGGGTTAGATGTTCCGGGGGAAGCCCTCCGTGCTCCGGGCGGTGTCCGTATTGGGACTCGGAGGTGTGAGGATAAAGGTTTGAGTATTTCAGGCAGCAGAGAACACTCATCCTCAAACCACCAGGACCGTATCGAAGATGGGCGCAGAAACCAACAAAGCTGACGAACCACTTCATGGGGGTAGGGAGGGCGAGATGACCGGCAGGGATGGTGCCGAAGACCGCGTCCGATCTCTGGCCCCGAAGGCCCAACATTCCCGTGCACTCAGCGTGCCCAAGGTCCTTACCCCCTGGGCAGTCAAAGAGACACGGATCCTCCTCCTCGAGAATATCAACCCAATCGCCGTCAAGCTCTTCAAGGACCATGGCTACACTGTCGACGAGATCAAACATGCCCTCAACGAGGACCAACTGATCGAGCACCTTCGATCGAATCATTACTCCGGACTCGGAATCAGGAGTAAGACTAGAGTCACCGAACGGGTCATCAAGGAAGCTGGTGCAAACGTTTGTTTTATCTGCCCGTCTTCATCACTCTGTCTATCTATCTAAATGCTAACTTGGTATTATTATTTTTTACTTTGCTTCCTTAGTTATTGGTTATCGGTTGCTTTTGTATTGGTACCAACCAGGTCGATCTAGATGTTGCTGCATCAGCCGGGATCTGTGTCTTCAATTCGCCGTTCTCCAACTCGCGCTCGGTAGCCGAACTAGTGATCGGAGAGCTGATTGCACTAGCCCGACAACTGACGGATCGTTCGAGCGAGATCCACAACGGGGTCTGGAACAAGGTCTCGAAGGGATGCTACGAGGTGCGAGGGAAGACGCTAGGAATCGTGGGCTATGGGCATATTGGTTCCCAACTGAGTGTTCTGGCCGAAGCGATGGGAATGAACGTGATCTACTACGACGTCCTGCCGATCATGCCGCTCGGCTCGGCGACCCAGATCGACACTCTGGAGGCCATGCTCAGCAAGGCGGACTTCGTCAGCCTCCACGTACCCGAGCTGCCAGAAACCATCAACCTCGTCTCCGCCAAGGAACTCGGACACATGAAGCCGGGCAGCTATCTGATCAATAATTCCCGCGGACGGGTAGTTGACATCCCTGCACTGATCGAAGCCATGGAGGCTGGCCGGATTGCCGGCGCAGCCCTGGACGTGTTCCCCAACGAGCCGGGCTCGAATGGCGAAAGATTCGACGACCAACTGAACCCGTGGACGAGCCGGTTGCTCGGCCTGAGCAACTTGATCCTTACTTCCCACATCGGCGGGTCGACCGAAGAGGCTCAGAAGGCCATCGGCAACGAGGTCTCAAACTCTATGATCAAATATCTCACCTTTGGCTCCACCCTCACCTCCGTCAACTTCCCCGAGGTCTCCCTACGTCCGATCCTCGAGTCCGGCCTCGTCAGAGTCTGTCATGCCCATCACAACCAGCCCGGTGTCCTCAAGAACATCAACTCTATCCTGGCTGATTACAACGTCGAGAAACAGTACTCGGATAGTAAAGCTGACATTGCTTATCTAATGGCCGACATCCAACTCAGCGATACCGATAACCGATCCAAGTCTCACATCGAGATCTCAGACCTCTTCTCTGGCATCTCAAGTACCTCTAGCAATATCAAAACCAGGGTACTATATTGATCGTACTCTTCAGTTAAAACCTTCTGCTTCTTTTATTACCAGAAACACGCACCAAGTTTCTCTTGATTACCATTATGATGATCCCTAGGATCCTTTTGAAAAATTAACTTCCTCAGCTCATTGATAGAACTGAGTCTTCTCCTCTTGGCCTTATTGATTGAATTGAACATTTATTGCCATTATCATATTGAAAAATCCAATTGCTGCATTTTTTCTTGCTACTACATTGAATTCTGAAACAGTGACATACCTTCAGCTACAGCTGGAGAAAAAAAGAAGGGATCAATGTGGGGGGGGGGAATGCTTCTGATCTGCAACTTTGTGTATATCCAACAGGTGAATGTAACTTTGAGAGTAAATCCCAAACCTGAGATATATTTGGGGGTGTGATATGAGTACTCAGGCTGTTTGATATCTCTACCACCAGTGCTCTTTCCACTCCTTGGTTTCCACTACTTGCACTTATTGTTTGGTTGATTATCTTGCTTCAATTTTCTTTTTTTGGTATCTGAATATATTCAAGTGTGGACTCAAAGTTTAGTATCTCCAGCAGTGGCAAGTGAAAAGTAGCCAGATTCACAGCCCATATGCTAGGATAAGAATGTAGAACTAGAGGTTCCATGAGTGGAGAACCTTTTGAGCAAGTTAAATTTTCTTGTGGAGAACCATTGGATCTTTGAGAAGAACCCAGGGGGAATGAACAGAACATATGCCCAAGAGAAAAAAAAAAGAAGAAAAAATGTCATGTTTGTAACTGTTGGCCTTGTCCAGCAAGGCTATTTGGCTCTGAGCTGTGCCACTGTCTGCTCCAGTTGCTCCAGTGCCAACTGATGAGTGGGCCAGTCATGTAGCCACTTGAGTTGGTCCTTAACTTCAAGAGAAAAGTGATCCGGCCTTTCATGCTAATTTATTTGCTCCCGTTGCTGATTTGATTGCTCCTCTAGCCAATTTGGTTGGTCCTGGAGGCAAACTTCTTCAAAAGAAAAATAGAAAAGAAAAGAAAACATAGTTGGCATGTGGATGACTTCCCGTAGCAATCTAGAACCCTCCCAGAATCCAATTTACACCCCCTAGATCTTAATTTTTGGCTACAAAAAATAATTTTTTTACAAGCCTTGTAGAAACTAGACCCATGTGAGATGGTTGAAATTACAATTGGGGTGTTAACTTAGGACTTGGGAGGGCTTAAAAAGTGCTCTAAATGGTGATTGGAAGTCCTCCAGTGAGGCTTCAAATCAGATAGAGGCAATTTGATTTGCCAGAAAGTTGTCTTGACTAGCGTTGGAGCCTGTTCCCAGGTTGTCAGAGTATACCTGTTGGGTACACCAAGGGTATAGGGCAGCAAGACAGCTCATGAGTAGCCTGAACCCCAATGGGTATGTAGGGTATGGTCCGTGGGCTGCCTTGAAGATACCTGTGGGTATCATTGGTTTGGCAGGGGGTGGGAACAAACTTGACAAAGTCTTAGGCTGCGGGGGCGCATCTGGCAGCATAGGGCTGGCCAGGCGGTTCCTGAAGGGAACTCCCCGCAAGGGAGACTTGGGCCAGAGGTTGACAAACTCAGGTGCTGAGTTTCTAGTGTTTTGGTGGGAGCGTCACAAGATTTGGAATCTTGATTCTCCCTCAAAACTTTATGGATGTTTGGCCCAGATGATCCTATTGATCCAGCCCAAACTCAAAAGTTGTACACCACAACTGTAATTAAGATTGATTTTCTAAAATTAAGATTTGAACTTTTTTTGAGTTCAAATGTGGGGTGTGCTCAAGTTGGGCCCACCAAAAGAAGCCAACTTGAGTTGAAAAGTGAACCTTTCCAAAAGCTTTCTGTAAAGGATTAACAAACATAACAAAAAAACTGAACACAGGGAAATATGGACAAGAAGCAGACCCTCCTTGGTCCACAAGGAAATTGCATAAATTTGGAGGAGGGAGATTGTAGGCAGAAAAATATACAAAATACTGGGTTTCAAGCCCAATTTTGAAAACTCACCACACGGGGATTGCTGCATCTGTCCTAGGCCTCCACTGGTGTGAACAGCTCCGCTGCTTTCTACCGCTCCCGCCGTGGAGGCCTAGTTAGGCTCAGGGTGGGAAGGAGTAATAAAGAATAAAGCCCATTCAGAGTACAATTGTTTCTTTTTTCACTTGGAATATGACTTGTATTCATTTCAATGCAGTCTTGTATGTAAAAGGACAAGAAAAAAAACATAAGGGCAGTCAATCATTGAAACGGACATCAAAATCTTCTTCATTTTCATCATCATCAATCTCTTTGTTGATGTTGTTCTTGAGCATTTCAAGGTTGACAACGGTGCTGGTATCCATCATCTTTTCCAATTTCTGGTACCATTTTTTCACACATAGAAGGTGCTCAATAGACAAACTTCTGAGGCTGTGTTGCTGGGGCCCAATGATATTTTTTGATCTGGAGAAGATATAATTTCAAAAGTGGTTATGAAACACTTTTGCTGAATGGAGAAGGGTATGTTGGAGTTGCAAGCTCTGCCCTTCTATACTATCAGAATAACAAGAACACCAAGCTTAGCTTGGCAATATTATATATAGTGATAGTAGAGATGGTCGATGGATATCCGTTGCGGATATCCGTTATCCGCTGGCGGATACCCGCCGGTGCCAGCGGATACCCATCAGCGGGTGCGGATGTCCCTTTCCGCCCCAAATCATGGCGGATATCCGGGTATCCCAAGGGATACCCGGTGCCAAGAGGTAAAGAAATGTTTTTTTTTTTTTTTCAAAAAAAGGAGAAAAACCAACTGGCCCCCCTTCCATGTCGCCGGGAGGAATCCCTCCCGGCGAGCTGGTACACAATCCAGCTCGCCGGGGAGGGATTCCACCCGGAGAGCTGTTACACAGACCAGCTCGTGGGGAGGAACCCCTCCCGACGAGCTGGTACACAGACCAGCTCGGATTCCTCCCGACGAGCTGATGTACATAGCAGCTCGTCGGGAGGGGTTCCTCCCGACGGTGTGGCCTTGCCCCTCTAGGCTGAGGGGGGCAGGGTTTTTTTTCTTTACATTTTTTGCAAAAAAATCCCCCTCGCCCGCGTTTGCCCACCAGTAAAGGGCGGGTATCCGCAGATATCCGCGCGGATACCCGCCAGCGCCAGCGGATACCCGCTAGCGGATGCGGATGCCTGTTTCCGCTGAAATTGTCAGCGGATATCCGGATTTCAATTGACCATCTCTAAGTTATAGGGAAAGGTTTGAGATGAAGCTGCCAATTGATGTGTGTAAGGGTGTGAAGAGGTTATATAATGTGTAGCAGAGATGATTTTGGGAGCACTATGCTTCAACCAGGAATGGAATGGGTTCAGGGGACTTTTGTTTTATGATGATGAAAGTGTTATAATTGTATTTCAATTTATATAAAGCTGTAATTTTTATGTGGCTATGACTTGTAGTTCATACATAATATATAAGATGGATTTATTTATAAGGGTGGTTGAGATGATCTGTTCCACTAGTGGGATGATGAAGGGAGCAACTGGCAGGCAGAGGCCTCCTTATATAGATAAATGTGAGGGATTTTGGCCCCAGGGTACAGGTTGTGAGATATTACTACAAAGGGATGCATATGAATGAATAAAGGGATGCATATGCATGATCAAAAGGGATGCATACATGCAATATCACTAATACAAATGGATTTGATATAGCTTGAAGGTATTCAATTTAATGCAAAGGTATTCAGTATTCAATATTTATCATAATGAACTATGGTTAGAGTGAAGAATCCAAGAAATATCCCGTGACAGGTTGAAATATGTGTAACTTCTAAACTATAAGAGATAAAGGTATGGTTGTAGTGAGTGAATAGGGGTTATTTTACCTGAGGATTCCATTTTTGATTTTAATTTTTTATCATATCTTGAATGAATAGAGAGATAATAGGAAATTGTGTTATTTTCTGCGTAGAAACACAGTATTATTTGCCACAGTGGATACAGATATCCGCTCACTTTTTCAGCGGAATTGGACATCCGCATCCACTGGCGGGTATCCTCTGATATCTGCCCCTAAATTTACACCTGGGGTGGTTGGAGGTGGCGGCCAATGATTGATTGGAAGGTCTTCCTTCCAGCCGACAAGGCACAACCTCATTGACTGGAAGGGTTTCCTTCCAGATGAAAAGGTAAATCTTCCTTCCCGCTGACGAGGTACATGTACCTTGTTGACTCAAAGGGTTGCCTTCTGGCTGACAAGATACATGTACCTTGTTGACTCAAAGGGTTGCCTTCTGGCTGACAAGATACATGTGCCTCATTGACTGGAAGGGCTTCCTCCCGGTCAACAAGGTTGTGCCTTTTCAGCCTCAAGATGGTACATTCTCCAGGCCGAGAGGAACCCCTCTTGGCCTTGAGACTGTACAAGGTATCAAGGCCAAGAGGGTTTGTCTGACAAGTATCCCTGGGGATACCTGGATACCCGCCAAGAATTTGAGGAAAATCAGGCATCCACACCCAAATCCGAATCCTCTGGCGGGTATCCGCCAGCGGATAGGGGGTATCTGCAACGGATACCCTGAGGCCATCTCTATCAGGGATTTTATTATCCAATTCTTTTTTTCAAAGTAGGATGATTTGATGCAAGGATCAAGAATCATCACAGGAATGAAAGCCAGCTTCTTCAGAGTTAGAATGTGATACTTGGCAAGTTTATTGACCATCTTGTCAGTGAGCCGGCAGGTATGATTTGAGTCATGTTGTACTGCAATTGGAGGCCATGGATAGTCTTGATTAAGGCAATGTAGATTGAAAGGGCCATTGTTAGAGCTGGATAGTTAGATCAACATATGATTTTGGTGACTTTGTGCAGTGGCTTTAAGAACTGGGTGATTTGTTTCAATTTTTCCCATTCAACTGGCAGGAGCGCATATTTTTGTGTGCTGCCTCTAGAGCCACAGTAAATCAAACATACCAATTTAAGTTTGAGTGCAGCTCAAAGCATCAGGTAAGTTGAGTTCCAATGGGTCCAAACATCTAACCTCAACAAATGAACTTCAATGGGTTTTTTGTGTTTTTCCTGTTTATTGAAAAAATTGATATCTGCTTGAAAATTCTCATAGAGTTGAGTCAATCCTTGTATATAAGTTTCTAGACCATGCATGCGAGAGATAATTGTTTGGAGGTTTAAATTGGTGCCATTAAGTTGATTTAGGATTGAGTCCAGGTCCATTTGATTCAAGGTGACCTCTTTGTCACTGTCCAATGCACTATTCAAGCATCCAAAGACTTTGAGCCCATTGTGGGCAGAAAGATCAATTACATGGCCCATACAGCCAAGCAATTGACTGCCTTGCTGGCCCTTTAAAGGGCGGGTATCCGAGGATACCCGCTTGGATAGCCGCTAAGGTGGGGGGATATCCGCCAGCGGCTGCAGATTCCGATGCGGATGGCTTTTTCCCCGGAAAAAGCAGCCGGATATCCACATCCGCACGGATATCTGGATTCAACGCAACCATCTCTACCCCAGGTTGTGTTCAACTTAGGTTGCTAGAAGCATTTTCAGCTGTGATGGAGGTTAAATTGCCCAAAATCTCCATCTCATCAAGGTAATCAACAAAGAGATTGCCAAAATGTTTGCCTGTGATGTCCTACAAAGAAATATGGATTAGTCAAGAAGATCCCAAAGAAGTGAAATGAAATATCTCACCAACAACAGGAGGTGTCCTACTGATTATGTCAAATATCTTCCATTCCAAGGTTATTCCATTGGCAGTGATGGCCATGAAGGCCTTTGAGTTTGGCAATGTACAGGCATCAAAAGTGAAAGAGATGTACAGACCCTTGACAGAAAAAATGGAACCCCTTAATTGGAGTCCAGAGGGCAAACCAATGGACTTCAATTTATGCTTCCTGGTGAAACTGTGGAAAATAAGCTCTAAAGAATGATTCTGACAAATTGGATAGGAAATTATTTTGTAAAATGTTTGTGTATTTTTCCCCATTTTCTGATTTTTTTGGTATTTTTCAAAGTAGCTCAGAAAATCATGATCAACACAATTGCATGTGAAAAGAATTATTACAAATGAAAAATTAAAAAACAATTGATCAACAGCTTTTCTAAGCATGTTTTGATTTTGTCCTCCACCAGACCAACCCTCCAATCAGGCACTGAAATTGAATTCAATTTCATCCTCAATCCAACTTCTTCAGCTCTCTAAACTTTTGATCATTTATTTTTCTCAATTTTTCATTTATAATCATTCTTTTCACGTGCAATTGTGATGCTCCTGAATTTTTGAGCTACTTTGAAAAATGATTGAAAAATGTCAAAAAAATCAGAAAATGAGGAGAAATACAAAAAAAAAATACAAAACATTTTCCTATCCAATATGTCAGAATCATTCTTTAGAAATTCTTTTACAAATTTTCACCAGGAAGCATAAATTAAAGTCCATTGGTTTGCCTTCTAGACTCCAATTAAAGGGTTCCATTTTTTCTGTCAAGGGGCTGTACTTCATTTTGCGGAGTACATCCTGCAGATTGCTTTTATGAGCTTCATAGAGTAGGGTGATCTCTCTAGCAATTGTCTTCCAGCCACAATCCATAATGAGGTTTGCTGGGTTAAGAAGTCCCAATAGGCTTTGAAACAGTTTGTGTTTGACAATTGAGTAGGGTAAATCTCTCTCAAAAATGAGATATGAGATTGCATGTTTGAGGAGACCACCATTCAGAACAGTCTAAGTCAAACATGTCAGTACACAAACAAAACATAAGAAAACAAAATTAAGGAAGGCATACTTGATGCTCAATGTGTTGTTGTTTAAAAAGATTGGGGAGTGAAAGTTGATTGGTTGTCTCTTTGTTGGGAGGGTATGTTTTGTGAAGCCAGCTAAGGTGTTCAGACATTTATTTTGTGCTTCCAGTAGGATCTTGTTGCAAGGTTTTTCCGCACAGTCTGTCTTTGTTTTTATTTTTAACATGCACTTGGTATTTGACTCCTTCAGATTCTTCAGATTTGGGTTCTTTGTCACTGTTGTTGTTCACAACCTTGAAATAACTTCAAACT